AACATACGTCACAACACTGCATAGACAATACGTCACGACTCAGCATAAAAATACGTCATAAATACAATGGCGGGAAGAGCGTTCACTAACTATAATAGTCAAGCGCGGGAAGAGCGTTCAACAACTAATGAACATAATATTGAGTCGCAACAATTCCTAATGAACGCTCATACTCGACAAGGATATAAAAGCATGACTTTTAAAGTGAGGATATAAAAGCATGACTTTTAAAGTGAGGATATAAAAGCATGACTTTTAAAGTGAGGATATAAAAGCATGACTTTTAAAGTGAGGATATAAAAGCATGACTTTTAAAGTGAGGATATACAAGCATGACTTTTAAAGTGAGGATATAAAAGCATGACTTTTAAAGTGAGGATATAAAAGCATGACTTTTAAAGTGAGGATATAAAAGCATGACTTTTAAAGTGAGGATATAAAAGCATGACTTTTTTAAGTGAGGATATAAAAGCATGACTTTTAAAGTAGGGATAGTGTTAATTATAAATTATATGATGGCACTATGCATTAAAAATATAGCAATTAGCATAATTTTAAATGTACTCGATGTAGTTGAGCTAGATCAAATGAAAACTTTAATGAATATTTTTTTAAAGTAAGAATGTAACAGGTAGCACACAGGGGTTGCTGGGCTCACACGATCGTTCTAAGTTTAAGGGACCCTTAAATTGTTTAACTAGCATCTCTTCCGTTGCTCTCAAAATTACGTGTCGAATGTTGAAAACTAAATTCATGTGTGTGCCAAAATGCATTCGTGTATTTTGAATGTATCAAAAATTTTCTGGGGACTATAAAGATTTAAGGGGCGAGAAGAAGCTAGGGCAAAAGCATACTCTCAGGGGCGACCCAGCTGGAATGAGTTTAGTTCATGTTGGGAGGGCACAGTGCTAGAGACTTCCCTGATGTTTCTATTATAGCTAATTATTTTGACGCTTCCCATACGAAATTTTGAAATATCACCTCAAAATTGTCTGAAAGAAACACCGAATGCAAGTATACGCCGAAATGCACCACTGCATTTTGCCAGACTGTTTTCAGCACCCTCAATTCTTAACCCCCCTTTCCTTTCCATCATGCCGATCATTGTGACAGTACGGGGTTAAATATAAGCAATGGCCAAATTATTACCCTGGGACATGCTACAACCGGAATGAATTCAGCTCATGTGTGGCAATGGGCGCCATAACGCCTCGCACAGACCCTTAGAAATCTCCTTCCCCTGATCAAAAAGTCGAATAGAATAATTGAATTCAAGTATACTCCAAAATTCACCTCTTGATTTTTAAATAATACAAAAAAATATTATGGGAGATAACTCTTGAGACCCCTTGAGATTCTTTGGCATCCTAGATTTCTGCCCTACTTCACATTCAAAATGATCACCAATGTCGGCGTTGCTAGTATTAGTGACAGCATGGGCCGCCAAACATTTTTGCCACTCTCCCTTTTACGATACGAATCTGCAGTTGTCCGAAAATACCGCACTTCCGTACAAATAAAATGTGACAAATGGGTGGACCACCCCATCCGCCCCCTTTCTATGCTAGAGTGTTTGGCGTCAAGTGACAACATTTATTTTACGCCCCCCCCCCCCTCAACTCTGAAAACCATCATTTTAAAACTTTAAATATCACTAAAGCCCATTTTGACAACCCCACTAGTTTGGCGCCCGGGTACGTCTGTCAAGGGCCGTCTTAAGAACATAAGGAGCCCTGAGCACAGCAATGCACTGGGGCCCTCAGCAACACAACACACCAGGGTCGTTAGAAGGGGGGACAAAGTGGGGCACTTGCCCCATGCTCAAACCTTGGGGGGGGGGAGCGCAAACAGTTGTTGCTCCCAACCCAAATCCCCAGGAGGAATAAAATTGTAAATAAGAATAAACATTCAATAAAGTTAAAAATAGGTTAATTCGACTAATTTATACAAAAACAAAATAAACCCAATTGAGCCCTGAGCACAGCAATGCACTGGGGCCCTCAGCAACACAACACACCAGGGTCGTTAGGAGGGGGGACAAAGTGGGGCACTTGCCCCATGCTCAAACCTTGGGGGGGGGGGAGCGCAAACAGTTGTTGCTCCCAACCCAAATCCCCAGGAGGAATAAAATTGTAAATAAGAATAAACATTCAATAAAGTTAAAAATAGGTTAATTCGACTTATTTATACAAAAACAAAATCAACCCAATTCAATAATGGTTTTAAAACATCAGAAATACATATAATTCATCCCAGATAATGATAAATTATCATGTTGTCCATTTGATTACTTATTCTTTCTGCCTCACGCCTCGTTTTTCCTTTTGCTGATCAGAGTCAGCTGATACAGAGTCCAGAGCATCTTGTATTTTTTTCGAAACGTTGACCGCATCAAAATGTGCCGACCATCTTGTGTCAAACAGATGCTTTACGAGATATTTTCCTAAGGAAGATACCAGAACATTCCATCGACGTGTCGTAGCTGGGAAAAGGGTATATAGGCGCTGAATAAAGTCAAAGTCATCCAACTTGTAGACAACACTCTGCTGCTTTTAAGCCCACTAAGTTCAGACTGTGTCCAGGACAAGGGACATACACGGCAAACTCATTCAATTGACGCAGTCGTGCTTGCAATCCAGTGTAGCGTCAATAGATATATACATTTAAAGCTTTGTCATACGATTGACCACGGCAAATTGAAGGCGGAATTTTGTTCTCATTCAGGAAATCTAAAACATTGTCTGCTAGATCCTTTGATACAAAACAGTGTCTGCTAGATCCTTTGATACACAACAGTGTCTGTTAGATCCTTTTCTCTATGGGAACATATGGAAATTAACTTGATCAAACATTCCACAGACTTACACCCTCGAATGTTCTGGACCGTAAATGTCAGTTGATCAATGTGCGAAATGTCTGAAGTGGAATTATAACTTATTAAATAATACTTTGACTCCGTAATTTCTTCCAGAATAGGACAAAGGACATGTTGCCCCATTAGATCAATAAATTATTCTAAAATATTTGCCGACAGATATGATGTGTTACTCTTTCCAGCATTTACACTATAGTTTGAGATGCTCCACCAAAAAAAGGATAACATTCACTCAACAGCTATAAAGTACCTAAACAATTTCCATTGTTTACTGACCCCCATAGTTTGATCCTAAACCCTGGAGGCAAGGAAGCGAACGACATAAACCCCACGAGTCAGAACTTGATGCCAGCACTTCTGTTTTGACCTATGGTCTTTGATTAATGAAGGACCTAAACACCTAGCTTCTTTCAGTCGAAGCAAATATGCGGTCATATCCTTGCAATGCACTGCTCCATTTTCTTGTTCTACAATAAAATTGTTATGTTTCCAATAATTGAATCTTGATATAGCAAAGTAAGATACTTTTTTTTTTTTTTACAGAGACGACACGCCAAACAATACAAACAACCTTGGTATGGTGAATAGAAAAGCCATTCGAGTTTTACACACTCGCCACTCCGCAGTTCACGTATATTTGAACATATTTCTTGATAAATAAATTGTCTTAGTTCTTTCTTCTCCAGCTCTGCCTGAGTTTGAAAGGTTGCAGTCATGATTCTGACAAACTTATAGCCAGCCCACTGCAAATCCAGTAATTAACTGTACAATTGTTCTTAATATTCCATAGCACACTGAATCACACTCTCGTTTTCTGGCACAGTTTTGTGTGTTTCAGTTTTTAAAATTTTCCCAGCAGAGGAAATAGGTAATGGTATTATCTGAAACTAGATGGCTGGATCCAATAGAGGATGGAGATGACGCACTTTATTTTGAGGAGCAGTATTAGTCACTGAAAATTCGATTGGATTTAACCAAGATGTTAATTTTGCAAGTTTACCCGTTTTCTTTGTCTCCTCAGCTCTTTTTCCCTTCTGTGCTCCAATTATAAAACTAATTTTTTATTCCCGCTTAAGGGGTTAAACACCTAGCCCTAGCAATATATTCATTGTTTAAAAGTATTTCTATAGTAATAGCAGCAATCCGTTTAATATGGATTTGTCTGTCCCTTCAGACTGACTTGTGCCCCGCTAAAAACGAACATATAGTCCATTCAATTATCTTTCACTTAATACCTCATTTTGTTTTACAAATCCAACAATACAATTTTAAATAGTTTTTTAACCCCAACCTCTCACTTCTGGTACCCGGGTACGAATAGCCACTTCGGTAAACAAATGCTTTAACTTTTTTATTTTCGATTCATATCAGGGAGAAGTAAAACGTGTTGACGAGAGTTATTCCCCTTTAAAAGTTTAAAAAGTATCCAACTTGTGATTCGCATTTATATATTAATTTTGGAACGTGCCGATATAATCGTGGGTTCAAGTTGGGAAACATGCTGTGCACTGATTTTAAATCAAAATTAATTGCTAAAATTTTTCAATATTCATTAATAATATTTGCAACATAATGCCTTTATAAGAGTGAGTCTCTTAGAAGCAAAGGGGCCCCCCAGAAGCGCGGGGGCCTGGGCAAGTGCCCACTGTGCCCATGCCTTAAGACGGCACTGCGTCTGTCCCAACTATCACGCCTCTGGCTATTGGGCCCCACCCCATGAAAATCTGAAAAGCACCTCATGGTGTAAATTTTCTGAAAGAAATACGGCACAGAATTCTATGAAATTTTCTATTGCGAATAAAAGTATGAGTGATTTTATTAGAAAAACACAATAAATTTTAAGTGTAATATCTTGACATTATAAAAAATGCTAGCTTACGAACTAGTCATTATTTAAATCTAACAGTTAGGTCTGGCTCAAAATCTCTGACTCATTTAAACAGATGCTCACTTCTTCTAAGGATTATTATTATTTTTTTAATCGTGATCTTTTTAAAATGATTAGAAAAAATAATGCTTGTCAGCCCTTACTTTTAAATGAAGATTTTGATGTGTTTGTGAAAATCATAATTCACTGTATTTCCGCTGACTTAAAACTCTTAATTTTTTAAGCCTTGGAGGAGGAAAAAAAACCCAACTTAAGCTGAGAAAAAGGTACACAGCGTCCAAGGTTCCTGTGACCAAATGAGTACTTCAGTAATGGAGAGTTTGCCTAGGTCTCAGTTTGCATGCAGACAAACGTGTTTTAACATAATTTTGTTGTGATTTTTCATGCAATTTTTTGAGGAGAAAATGGTGAGTAACACCGATCTGTTATAATATCCTCAACTTACAATCTATCCTCAAGCTACAATTCCAAATCTCTGATTCCTGCTCTGATATTTTTTGCCTCAATCGCCATCTGTTGTAACGTTGCTCCCAAGTACTCAGTCACATCTTCCTGTCGTATATTCATTATATTATAAAGCGGCTGAAGACTTTGCTGATGAGTGATGAGTAAGATGGTGGCTCACAACTAGTGGCATTTGCAGGACGCCAACTGTCCTTCTCCGCGGCGCCCCCACGGGGAAAGGCGGACAGAAGAAGCTGAACAATAACACGGACGTTTGAGCCCAACAAGGAAAAAAATAGAAAGAGGGACTTTACTTTAAAGTAATTTCACTTGAAATAAAGTAATAATTAAAGATAAAAAGAAGAAACGTCAGTGTTGTTTTGTTTTATGTTTAAAGCATCATACTAAATGGATGATTTGATGGCACATAAGTGGTAAGTGACATAACGTTCTTTGACATGATGTGCATATGACGTAAAGGCAAAAATCCATACCGGTACATTATTTATTATTCCTTGTTGACAATGCAATATAATGTTAAATATAAATATAGGCTGCATAGCACCGATGACGGGTCTACATTTCTTCAATTGATCTTGAACCCCACCCCCAACCCCACCCCCAACCCCACACCCACCCCCACCACTCTTACTATGCCACGGGGGTACAAGAAGAAATAAACGTGCTTAGCGCATGTTTTCAATTAAATTAAATCGTGGATAATCGGCTACGAAACTTGGATGATTCTTATTTTTTTTACTGTTTTTATTAGCTAAAGACAAAATTCCTGACTTAAAATAAATATTTTGAAATTTGCCAAGGCTTCTTGAGGGGACAACGGAAATCACTTAGAAAAAAAATCACTGTAATTTAATATAAAAATTTAATGTCAGTAACGTCCCCTGATTAAAGCATTATTTGATTGGTCAATGTGCAAGAAGTTGCCGGCGGTGAAAGCTTTCATCGCCCCAATGGCATTTTTATATAAAGGTATACATGTTTCGTAAAACAGATCTGGGCATCTAATTTTTACAGAATCTTTGAACGAATGATTGGCACAAATGGACTTGTTTAATCGAAATCGGAATAAATATAGTAAGGATGCATGTGGTAATAGTTCTATGACTCCATCAGAGAAAAGCGATCAAGACCAAGATGACTATTCAAGTAGAAGTTTCAGCAGTGATCAAGACAGTGATTACGAAAGTGAATACGGGAAAGATTATTTTGAAAATAAGTATGAATTAAATTGATATGAATATTGCATATTGATTTAGTTTAGAGACGATAAACATTAAAATACAATTTCCTTATAATTTATATAATTAATTATTTTTAAAAAAAATCAATTAAAAAAATGACAATGATCATCTGACATTGACATTAGTACTTCGAATTAGTGACATCATATTAAATGTATATTCTTATTACTATATGTATATATATAATATTATATATATTATATAGCCTACTATACAATTATATTATAATAGAATAATAGTACTCTTGTTGATTTATTTGACATTAATTTAATTTATTGATAGTTTTTCTCTGGAAATTATTACAAAACCAATTTGTTAAAAACCAATTTGTAAGAGTAAGAGGAAATGTTGGTTGAACAGAAGTTTGTTCTGTTTTTTCTAATAATAATGAAAGTTTGTTGGAATTAGAGAGCAGAAAAAATGAAAAAAAGCCAACAAAAATAAATCTTATTTATTAAAAGTTTACATTTCCTCAACTCCTCATTTGCACATTCCCTTAAAAAAAAGCTCTAAAAAAAGATAACCATTGAATACAATTTTTTATTTTGAATAAATTTCAAAAACTTCTGTACTAACTCTAAAAAACTTCTTTTCTAACTTACAACTTACTTCGGTTCAGGCAACATTCCATTGTCCAAATTGAATTTGAACTATAACTAATTGGTTTTGTTCTAATTTCAGGATTATCCTGTGTCATATAGCACATCAATCTACACTAAAAGTTAAACAGTGACTACCCTCACATCACACAATGAAGTAGTTTTGAAGTTCATAAAAAAATCACATCATCATAATGATTAAATAGAGCAACACACTTATTCATGTATTTAATTTAATTATATAAAGAAATAATTTTAAAGAATATTTTGAACATGTAGGCTCAAAATTTCTATTTAAAAGACCTACATTTTTACTTTAACAAGATTCATTAATAGTTTTCTCAATTCAATTATTTAATTTCACTTTTAAAAAAAATTTGGTTACATAGTAACTTGTGATTAATGTTTACATTTAATTCTTGTTAAAGGAAAGTTGGTTTTCAAGTTGATGTGCTTCATTTGATTATGACAAATGCATTTTTAATTGAATTTGTTCAATGATTTACTCTCATGGTAAATTGTTTAATAGATCCAGCTGTATATGTCATGGTTAAATTATATGACAATATGATGCTTCTAATAATTTGGAAACCAGAAAACTCCTCACTTGTCCTTGAATGTAGAGTCTCTTGAATTCAACTGTGTTACTTACTATCCTTCACTTTTCAAGAGAAAAGGTAGTAAAGAGAATAGCATCAGACCTTTGATCTTACATCCTCAACACTTAAGGCATTGTATAGCTTTTTGTATAGCAAGCAGTATGCCACTGACTTGTTTAAAATAAATGCATAAAATATACCCGTGAAGACACAATAACATAGAACAACCACTATATTTAAAATGAAAACATATTGCTGTAATTTTTGCTGAATTTGTCATCATACCAGATATGTCCCCATTTTAAAGTCATCACTGATATTATTTATAGTAAACTTAATTCTAAAGAATTTTCTTTATGCATTAACTGCAGTGGTAGATGCAATAAATTTCAATGGGATGGTGTGAAAAGAAGATTTCCTGTTCTGGAATTTGATACACAAGCTTTCTTCAATGAGGACACAAATTTGAAAAAAAATGGGCGTAAGTATGACAGCTTTAACAAAAAAAATTATGATGCCTTACATTTTCTGATCAATTTTTTAATTTTAATTGCTAAAAATTGTTAAGTTTATAACAAACATAATTAAACATTGATAAATCTATCAATAAAATGGTTTATTTATATGGTTTAATTATAATGCAGCCATTACAGGACTTTAAGTGGGCATTTACTAAATAAGGATTTTATTTAAGAAATTTAAAACACTAAAAATGGAATGAGAGTTTGAAATCAGATTGAAGTTTTTTATTAATAGGAATTTTGGTGGGGAAATTGCTTTGTAATGAAAACTTAATTATTTGATGATTTTGATGTGATGCAATTTCTAGATTAATTTTTGTCTACATTTTGACTAATGTTGTAAATACTCTTAAAACTTGTTTTTTCTTTTAGTCCTATAAAATTTAAATATATATAGTTTATATATATATTTTTTTAAAAAAAAAATCTGCTGCCATTCAAAATGAAATTGCAGAAGATTTTGGCCTGGTTTGTAAAGTATCAGGCAATGCTCAAATCATGAGAGATATTTTGATGGCCCATGGATTTTATGAGGTATTTTTTTGTTTTTCCAACGTAATTTTCACAAATAAATCAAACTATTTTAAAATGTTTATTTTCGATGTAAGTTTCAGTTTGCTCTTACATTGGGAATATGTAATATAGTTATTTAATACAAAATATATATTGGCTTCATGAAAATCCTATTTGAAATGATGAAAACAGCTTAAATATAGATCTGGTCTCATATATTTTGGCTGAAGAGCAGTTTAGACATAAAGACCAGGCTAGCAAATAAATTTAAAACAAATTTTAAAAAAATCACACACATAAAATTCATTCCATGTTCATCTACTGAAATGGTAAAAAATGTTCATTTAATGAAATGAAAATATATTTTCTCAAATTTTATGAAAAGTGCAAAACTTTCTCAGGTCATGATAATTTGGCTTCCCAGCTCATTTAATAAACAGTTCGTAGAATAATAATATGCCAGTTTAAAGTGTTTTTGAACATTAAATGATATTAGCAGCTCTAATCTTTTGTAACACAATGCCAGTGGTGAACAGCAAGCCATCAATTGTTTTACAAAAGGTTAAAATATTTAAAAGATTAAAAAATTATAATTAATTGGTTACTCCACTGTCATTGGTATTAATGTTGAGGGCTGAAAAATTTAAGAAGCACTGCTGTAACCTATGAGCACAGCATGCAATTTAGACTTTGTTTGTAAAATGATTTAATGAATGTGTGACACATGGAGTCTGCAGGTGGCACTTTTTAACTGGATTTTTTGGACTAATTAGTAAACATTTTATATGCTTTGGATAAGGGAGCTGTAAAATCAATGGAGAAAATTTGTTATCCCTGCCCAAAGAAGTATCTACATTAAATAGTCGTAAAGATTTAGTTTTGGAGAATATAATGTTTAATTTATTTAAAAAAAATTAACAATTTAATTCTAGTAGGAGTAGGAATGTTATCTGAAACATGCCCTTTCATTTGAATTTTAGCTACCTCTGTTAATTTTTTTCGCATGTGACTTATGCTATTTTTATATGTTTAGACCCACAGAAGCACAAGATGCTTTAATTTGAACTGGGCAGCTAACCATCCCGGCCCTTATTACATTCGTGGTATGGCACATTTTCAAACAATAAATCATTTTCCACAGTAAGTAGATGTCATTAACTAATTAGCTACCAGATTGAAAAACCGGCTGTGGCCGAATTAAATCTAGGTCACGTTGACTACGATACAAACGTTGGCGCTACCAGCGGCTCATGGCCATAACAAAAGAAACGCCCTGCTGCTCCCAGTGGCTTATGGTAGTTAACCAGTTAAAAGATTTTGTTCAGTTTATGAATATAATCTGTACTTAAAAGATTATTCTTTATTGAACTTTTCCCTAATTCCTAAACTATAAAATGTTATACGGGTATTGATTTAAAAATTATTTTAATACTCCGCTAACTGTAATTGTATAAGAGTTATTCTATTAAAATATTGATAATGCGTGGACATGACAGTTACTATTAATTAACAAACTTAAATGATATATATATATATATATATATATGGTATGTGAACATTTTACAGAACAAAAGAGCTGACGAGAAAAGATAAACTGTTTAAGAATGTAATCAAAATGCAGAAACTGCACGTAAGTTTTTAACTGGATAGCTAATAAAAAAAATTCCTTTTCAGAGACTCTTTTTTAACCATCTTATCACAAATTACTGTATTTATTGGTGTATAAAACGCCCCCGCGTATAACAGGCAACTCAATTTAGGAAGGAAATTTCAGGAAAAAAAACCTAAACATTATATTGGCGTATAACACGCACACATAATTTGCCCCCTATTTTCGGGGAGAAAAAGTGCGTGTTATACGCCAATAAATACGGTACGGTATGTTTGGAATACAGAATTCACTTTTTCTACAGAGCTTTCTAACATATTAATATTAACTATTGGCTTTGCATGTGAATAACATGATAGATGTGTTGCAGGTGATTCACTTGTTACCATACATGTGATGTGAAGCTTGTTACATCTAAGGGGGATATAACTTGCACAAAACTTGTGTGTAATTTAGCTGTTTAACAATTTGCACAAACAAACTTCAAAAATAAATAACAAAAAGAATAAAATAACCTTTAAAAAATACTTATTTTTTTATTGATAACCTAATCATTTTTTACAAATTTCTTTAAAATTCATTACTTTGTTTTTGGACTTACAATCAAACACTTTAATGTCTGTTTGGCATAAGGTTACAGAGCTAAAATTTAGCAAACACCTCAGACTAAAGTGGAAGGTTTAATATTATCAAAATTAGATGGAATCTTGCTTGACTAGTCATGTAGATATGTGAAGTGAAATTTTAGAATGTGTAACAAAAAAAATAAAATCCCTTGCTTTAATGGCTAGTTAAGAGCATCAGTCTTAGAAGAAAATCAAATTCAACTACAACTTATTCCTAAGATTTTTCAAAATTGCTTTTTAATCTCAGTAACAGGGGGAGGGGGGGGGGGGGGAAAACAAAAACTATGTTACCTTTTTTAAATTCAGTTTTTAAAAAAAAGTGATCGACGTGCAGCATTTTGCAATAGTAACAGGGGGAGGGGGGGGGGGGAGAAAACAAAAACTATGTTACCTTTTTTAAATTCAGTTTTTAAAAAAAAGTGATCGACGTGCAGCATTTTGCAAGGGTTATTGTTATTATGTAATGTTTCAGTATTATCAGTTTTTCACTCTTTTTATTAACATGAAGAAAGATTTATTTTCCCTAGAAAAGAGAATCATGTCATGTTGACTGTCAGGAAACATTTGTAAATGTGGAAAGCTGCAATCCCCTTATCTCCAACGCAACATTATAGGAAATCTTTTTTTCTGTATCATACAGACATTTTCTTTCTCTGCCTCTGTTTTCTTTGCACCTTTTCATGAAAACATAATGAGAGATTCATGAGAGTCATGGTAAATGGTGTAAGCCATTAAACAATAAAGGCACAACACATATTGGCCAATGGAGGCTTAAAACTCAACAAAGAGGTGCATACTGAGCATGGAGTTCAATAAAAATGGTTGATTGTAATAATGCCAAGAATATCTGCATCAATTTTTTTTTATTATAGGGGAAGGAGCATTTTGATTTTGTCCCACAAAGTTTTGTGCTCCCTAATGAATACAGAGCTTTTCGCTGTGAGTTGATCAGTTACTGCTTGTTTCTTTCATTGTGTCAAAATGTTTATAAAACAACTTGTGATAATGCATAATTACTTTGTAATAAGAATAGTTCCAGAAAATGGAGTTGAAATAACATCTATTCCAATTTTTTAAATTAGTGCTAGTACTGTTCAGTTTTGAAATACATAAGTATGGACCTTAAAAGAAAGTGTTTTAACAAAAGAGGCTGAATTTTGGGGTATATTTCTGTTAACCTTGATTAAAGATGCATGCACAACATAAAGAGATAATGTGCAATATTCTTTATCCACTATTTCCAGCTTACTTTAAGCAAGACAACGGGCCTTTCATTCTCAAACCCGTTGGTCTATCTCGAGGTAGGGGAGTTTCTCTCATTACCAAAGTGAGTAAAGGAGCAAAACAGTTTCATTTATCTATCATTTTGCTCTTTCTTCTTCTCCTCTAATTTGTACATTCTTAATTAATATTGGGAAATTGTGGAATTTGAAAAGTGTAATAACTATTAGGACGATTCTTTGCAAACTATAAGTATGAAATTTTCTTGATATGTTTACTAGCTATACTACACTGGCTATGGGGATATTATTCTGGCTTATGTACTGGGATTGTACTAGAGTTACCTACCGCAAATCAAGGACAAACAAACAAAATGTCATCTATTCTAATTTTTCTGCAATATTTATGGCTGTCTCAAAAGTCTTTTTAATATGAATGCCTCTATGGACACTAATATTGTTACCCAGACTTCATGGCCAGTATACAAGGAATACCATTCCAAAGTTGATTCATCTTAGTTTTGTTTTTCTCTTGAAAATATTATTGATTTAAAAAACTCATATTGACAGCCAAGGCAAGCCTTGAAGAAAACTGAAACTGGAAAAAGAAATGTTGTATGCAAATACATTCCTAATCCACTTATTCTTAATGGTGAGTTGTAACAGTGTACCAAACTTTAAGTAAACATCAGTCAAAAAAGTCAAGTCATTTTGAATTTTAAAAAAATCAAATGTTGTTCTTTAAAATTCATAGCGCCTATCATTTCATATTGAAAAATATCATATAATCAAAGTGTTTAATGCTATACCAGGTTACAAATTTGACCTCCGCATCTATGTGGCAGTTACCTCATTCGATCCCTTGCTCATCTATGTCTACAAAGAAGGATTAACTAGGTTTGCCACTGTCAAATATGATATGGATAGCGGAACTTATGAAAACCTATGTATGCACCTTACCAACTACAGCATCAATATGACCAATTCTGATTATATTAAGTAAGTATGCAATGAAGTGATCATCTTTTGTTTAGTTGATTCCATCCTCACCATTCATTATTACTTTAACATCATGTTATCACTTACCTTATTGAATACAAAGAGAAAGAGGTATACCCAAAATTCACTTTGTAGAGGTTGCAATATTTGCTTACCACTACCACCCTCAAATAACTCGATGTGCTGCCTACTGGTCATACACTCAGCTGGGCTGGTTAAACCTTTTTAATGGAACTTTCATTCCCTGACACATAAGCTCCCTTGAAGAGTGGTGCAGACCTGTTTACTCTTACGATTTTGGCGTACAATGTACGATTTTGAGGTGTATAGATTGTATATACTGTATGTTTTTTTTACTATGAATATAACGTATTAAATGACTTTGTGACGATATTGTATGATTTTAAGAGTTTGAGGGTAAACAGGTCTGGTGGTGAAAGTTTGTCTGGATTGCACTATCTGAAGATTCTTAAAGTTTTATTTATATGTTTAAATGCAGGAATGTTGACCCAGCAATAGAAAATGTTGGCAACAAATGGTCCCTGGGTGCCTTGCTGCGGCATTTACGTTCCATCGGTAAAGACCCCACTGGTAAAAAGCTTTAAATATCTTTCTTTTAAAGTTTAAAATATCAATTTTTACTCAACTTTAACTTAAATCATTGCTTGTTTTCATTTTAATTTGTAAAGCATCAATATGTATAGGTCCAAAAAGTGCTTCTAAACCTAAAGTATATTTACTGTTAGTATATGGTAAATATTTAGAAAGAGGGCATGCATTCTGATTGACAGTATCTAACTTAGTTCAAATTTTGTCTTAAGCCATCATGGTAGAAATTGAAGATGTCATCATCAAAACAATCCTATCAGTGGAATGGAGAGTTGGCCTTGCCTGTAAGAGATATGTACGTCAAGATAGTAATTGCTTTGGTAAGTATAAAGACGTTTGATTCATCAAAAATACTCTGAGACAGACTTATACATACCTGTGACACACCTGAGACAAAACTGACACAGACCTGAGAAACACTTGATACAGACCTTAGATTCTAATATTTTGGTGTCCCTTAACCCCAGGCCCCCCCCCCCCCCCCCCCCCCCACCCTTAACCCCAGGCCCCCCCCCCCCCGACAAAACATTGTTGGTTGACATCAAAATGTATGGTTGAAGAAGAAAATAGTTCTGAATTTTTCACTGGGCCTTAAAAAAATGCAACTAGCCCAGGAAAATACTTTCAGTATACTCTACTGTAACCCTTATTGAATATTTTAGATACTGTAAGAAAGTTTAAGTTGCAGTATTAATATGGTAAAAGCATTTCAAATGGTTTGATGTAAAGCTGATACAAAATGGTACTCTTTGATTCCTAATTATCCCATTCAGCTTGTTTTGGAAGCACCTGCCTTCCCATAAATTTCTCTTTCATTTCAGAACTTTTTGGGTTTGATATTTTGTTGGATGAGAACTATAAGGCTTGGTTAATAGAAGTCAACCTGTCCCCATCATTAGGCTGGTAAGTTATTTTTAAACTCTCTTTGAATTAGATAAAATAAACTTTATTTCATTTGATAATTTTGCCTCTTGCCAATAAAATAACTTTAGACATAATCAAGTAAATTTTCTCATGGTATGTTTACAATATCTATTGCCAGGGCATGTTTTTTAACAAATTAGATGTCTAGTAGTATCAGCCATATCATTGGCAATAATCTTATTTTATATAGACTGCTGACCAACTGTACAACAGTATTATCCTTCATATTTTAAAAATCATAAAAAAGTCACAATGAACCCATAGTGCATTTTAAATGAATTTCAGTGACACTCCAATTGATGTGAAAATCAAAAGCAATATGCTATGTGATCTGTTAAATCTTGTTGGTAGGTACCTTTTATACAATTTATTTTTTAGCACTGTTTCATATATTAGTCATAGTCATTATATTTTATCCAACTGATACCATTTGCCCTGCTTAATCTGAATCAGAGGCTCATGATATGACATGTCATAAAATTAAATACGTGCCTTTAGAATTCAATTATATGAGATTTATTTCAATCATGATTTTGAACAGAACACTGCTAAAACAGACCTAATTGTGCCAAAGTCATATTCAAATCAAAACTTAGCTGGCCAAAAAATTTTGAAAAACACTAACCTTTTATGAGAATCTTTTCTGTATTTATGTTGAATGGCATTTTGAGCGTATAGAAAAAAATGAAAATTTTCTTTTGACCAAATTGTTTACCCTTCTAAATATAAGTTTTTTTAAATGTATCACATTTTGAATTTTGTTAATTCCTGGCTTCTTCTCCGGGAAAAGACCCTATCATAGTATAACTTAAATATTTCCATTTAAAACTTTTTGCTTGTGTTATTTAAATTTGATATGTCTCATTGTTTAAATTAAATTGTAGGCCTTAGGTGCTACTCCCCATCCAACTATTTCTGTGGCCGCAAAGATTATGGATTTACTGATAAACTCATTGAAAGGATTCAGGTAGAATCTGTATTTCTGTGATGAATTTCATTAGGTTATTTAATTCATTGTCATCAAAACATGTGCAAAATGTCATTAAGTTCTTTTATTCATTGTCATCAAAACATGCGCCAAATTTCATTTTGAAGGTATGTTATAAACTCCTTGCTGAGACATACAAACATTGTGGTTTAAATAAATCTCTGCTACTTATGGACTAACTAGTTTTATAAAATATTTACACTTGTGTTATTATTCTAGGACCTTAGATTGACATCAGAATAAAGCTAATTAAAGAATTTGTTTAAAAATTGTTACTACCAACTCAAGGCAGTGATTCAGACATTTATAAATATTAATTATGTGATTTAATGATGTAGTGATTTAATTCAAAGAACTTGCAGTCAAATTTCTACTTAATTTACTATTAATGTTGTTAAATTTGACATAATGTGCTTTATGATACTATCTATAACACAGGTGACAGTTGGCTATTACTATTATTCAAAATGCAGAGAACTGATTCACTTGGTCTTTGGTTTGCATAATGCAAAGAAACAATTCAAAATGCTGGTTGCTGAGGAGAAAGAGGTAAACATTGTTTTTTTATATTATGTTTTTGTTACACATATCTGAAAAAATTATGGTTTACAAGGGATGTTTTCAAGTTAAGAAAAATATACTGAGCCCTATATCAAAATACAGTGAAAAGCATAGTGATTTACTTTAATAAGTGTTAAGTTATACCACTTAAATCCCATAAATTAAATGTTTTCACATGAAATTCTATTGGATATTTTTATGTTATCACACACAAAAACTATATTATTCTTGTATAGTAAAATTCTATAATAGCTTTATAAAAACAAAGGTCCATGATAAAATAAAATATGTCTGCAAATGATTATATATAAAACCCTGAATAACCAAACTGTGTAAATAGACATTAATATTTGTTTATGCAAAGTTTATGCATGATGCAACATTAATTAAGGCTGTTTTATGCTTATTTTTTCTATCATGTGAATGCTTAAAGATTTAATTAAAATAAAAAAGAATTAATGACAGTTAAAATGTTTCTCAGAGGCATGCTTCTGAACGAGATAAACAGCCAAAGGTAGAGAATCATAAAAGGGAGCCGGCCACCCTCACGCTAACTCTAAGCCCTAAAGAAATAGAGATGATTCGTCAGGTTAGAGAGGAAGAAACCAGATCTGGAGGCTGGCAGCGAGTTTTTCCTACAGCAGACAGTTGGGACAAATACTGGTAACAAACATTGTTTATTTAAGTTCTTTATAAATAATATTTTTTAAGTTGAATATTCTCTAAGGAAATCTAAGTAGTTTCTACTTCAATTATTTTATAAAAAAATTAAACAATTTTTTTAATAATGTTATTCACTGTAATCCATAGGGGATTCTTGTCTTTTCCTACAAGAAATAATCTTATATTACACCAAAGACTTTTTCCAGAAATGTAAGTAAAAAGAAAGTTGTCCTCTTCCGCTATTAGTTTGATTTTTATTGTCAGCTTTGAGGTTTGATGAGTTTATGCCAGCATTATTCATTTAATATTGACAACATGACCTCCTAGATTTACTAATAAACTTGTTGTGGTAATGTAACACATCTTGTGTCATGTTCTTTGTTATATATATATATATCAATGACAGTGCTTGTGTCTAACCTTTCAGGTCCTACAACTAACATTTATGTCATGTCACTATCTCCTTCTTTTTCACCTGAGTTCCACAATTATTTTTTTTCTCAATATGTGACATTAAAATAAAAACATTGATGCACTTATCTGTATACATTGACATTGAAGGATTGAACTGTTGCATTGGTCGTTCTATAAGGTGAACACCTATTCATTTAATTTTTTTTGGTTTATTGCTGCCAAATTTGATTGCCATGCTTAATTGTCTACATTCTTCTGTATTGATGGTTGAGATCTATTACTTAAGTCTTAGTATTACCACTTCCCCAAGAACCTTGCCGAGTTAATGTGTACTTTCAAGCGGGTTATTTGCTCAAATTTCTCTTGAGATGCAACGGTCTTGGTTAAATCCATGTTGGGGGTCCATGGTTGCACTTTGTTGCATGATACTTACAAATCTAAAAGCCTAGTACTACCTTATTCTACCTAGTACTGCCTTATTCTACCTAGTGATGTACCTATGTTATGTCTAATCACACAAAGAAACACATCTTACTACTACAGTATTCTACATGCACTAATGATAAATATTATTCACAAAGTTAGTGATTTTATTCTTTTGAGAAATGATTCTCAACTTAGGCCTATATTAAGTTATTACGGTTAGATATGTTTTTTTAAAATGTCCTGATATTTACAGGCATGATGTTATGAGTGCTGGGAAAGCACCAGATGCAGGATTCACCATCCCAAATGAGTCTGAGTAAGAGTATTTAAAATAATTTTTTTTCTCATTATATTCTTTATATGGCGAGTTATTATTTGCATTAAAGATATATTTAGTTAAGTTATTTTCATTTGAGAAATTATATCAATAGAAGGTATAAATACAGACCTGGTTACTCTTACAATTGTAGCATACAATGTACAATTTCAAGAGGTCTTTTATTATTGTACACCAAAACCTGTCATAACTTCGCTTTAAGAGACTAGGTTGAAAAAAAATAACTCTAATTTTTTTCAAATTAATATTATATACACACCCACATTTTCTTTTCTTTCTTTCTTTCTTTGAGGTAGATTTCCACTTCTATTATATTATTGTATTAATTTGTCTAAAGTCACATAGAGAGTTGAACCCACCGTGTCAACAATCTGTGTCACAGCTAAACACACGCATCACACACACCCCATGCGGGTGCCCCAGCCCCCCCCCTCCCCCCCTCCATGTGCAAGTTAATTCATTAGCCACGATCAACCTGATTACTGAAGTCAGCCAATGATAAATTTACCCCACCTCAGATAATGATCGTTATAGACTTGTAAATCAGTTGTGTGAGACTACAGTCAGCAAATTTACCTATCTGGTAACCGTATTACAAGGAACCAATGCTTCATAACGGCTGGATGGAGGATAAGCTCTGTGGTCTAATTCTGAGGAGTCGGCCCAGTGCTAAAAATCTGTATACCAAATCAAGAGCCTGGACCAGATAGGACTGCGAGTTTCTAGGACTCTAGATGCCACCACGTTCCACTGGAAAGACCATTCCACAACGTACAGCTGCATAGTCTACACTCGTCCCTGCCCGGAGAAAGCCAGGAGAGGATACTCCACTTCCACCATATAAGTGACCTCATACATTGATGTATTCAACCAGATCATTAATAATTTACATATATATATATATAAGCATAAGTTTTATTGCCATAAACCAATGTGCTCTAGCTGCTGGATTGAGGATAAGCCCTGAGGTGTGAGGAGTCCGCCCAGTGCTATAAATCTGTATACCAAACTGTTAGCCTGCATTTAATAAAACTGCAAGTTTCTAGGACTGTTGCCATAGTTACTTATAATATTGTTCAGAAAATTTGTCAATGGTCAGAAGATATTTGTCTTATTTACAAAGCAACTTATGATGATGAAAAGTTAGGCCAAAATGGGAGGCCAATGTTCATAGTCAGTAGAACCTAGATTGTAAAATTATAAGCAAAAAGATTGATCTAAGCATTACTATAAGCTATTGTTTTTCATACCATTAAAATTTGTGATTCCTATGTAGTGTTGTAAATTTAATGTAAACAAATAAATTAATTTCATCTATGAAATTGTTTATAGACCTCATTTGAATTATATATAACAAGGATATGATTGAAATTTTCATAACTTTGTTTGTCATTTGAATCAAAACATAAAACACCTAGACATTGGCAGGTGATAACTCATTTGAGAGTTATTCACCTAAGCCATGAGTAATATAAGTCATTTGGGCCCCGTCTATCAAAGTAGCAATGATGGGCGACTTTTTTTTTTGCAATGAAGAACTGTATAATTCATATAGGCCTACTTGGGGAAGTTACTTTTTTAGACATGTATTGATATCAAGTTATTGTATACATTAAACTGTATGTTTATTTACTATTACAATATAGTATTTTTGATTTTGAGTGTATCATTTTTGAGAGTTCCAGGGTAACCAGGTCTGTAGATGATTTGTAAATATTTGGATATGTTTAACTTACGACTTGATGCTTCGTATTTTATTAGAAATAATTTAATAAAATTATGCATGCATGAAACTAAGAGCAGCATTTTAACTTGCTGTTTGTATTTACATTCATGAATATCTGAACTAATGTATACATATTCAGGAATCAGCTCTTGTTCAGAATGACTGGAAGCAGAGCAAAAGAAAATCAGGTTTGTGGCAATAAAATCTATATTTGGTTTTTAAAAAAATTTGAAAACATACTCAATCTATTTTTAGCCATAGTGTTAAACTGGGCTAAAGGAAAATAGTTATGCTCTTCAACTCTGTCTCATAAGACTCAGATAATTTATGGCTATTACAATTATATTTTTCCAATTCCATTTTTTTGGTCTAATGTTTTATATGCAAATTTAAATACATTTTCTTACTACATTTCAGAGAATCAGTAAGGCCTACATTCAGACTTTGAATAGAATTGATCTTTATGAATCTTCTCTGCAAATTTTGCCACCTCCTGGATTTGGAGTGAAGGACAAATTAGGTAAATTTATCTCAATGATAATAATTATTTTAACAATGATAATAAAGGCTATACTCTCTTCAATGTAATAAAGGTTACCATATACAAAAAATAACAAAACAGAGTAAAGCTTCACTGCCTGGATGATAACATCTTTTGGAGCTAAGTCATCCTTGGACTCATTTATAGTATGGATTTCTTTTGTATGTAATGTTCCCTATAGGATTGCTTTTGTTTACAATTTTCTTTTATTTTTTTATTTTACAGCCCCACTCATTTCACATTTTCCTTTCTTATGATCGAACATTATTTTTCATTCTACAGATGAGACCTCTAGCAGCCAAGACTTAAATGAAATCTTTGTGTATAAATCCCATGGTGGAAGTGATGCTGATACATCGGATGGTAATAATTGTCAGTGGTTGTCTTGAAAAAATCAATACATGCAAATACAAATTAATTTCAGCCTAAACAAATTAGCCCAACAGCTTGTAATCCTTACTTTTGTTTAAACTAGGAAAAATAATCGTTCAAAATGGACCCATTTAATGTTTTGAGACAAATTGTGTTAGGATATTTTTAAAATTGAAAATTCATTTTTTAAAGCATCTGTAATATTTTCAAGAACTTAAATGTTAAAAAGCTCACCATTGCACACCTGTATGTTCATTTTCCATCAGTATTACATTATACATTGGTTGACATTAAAGACTACACTTACGTCAGGTACAAATAAAAGTGCAGAAAGATGTGCTCAAATCAGAGCTAGTGAATTACAGTTCAAAGCTCTGAAGCAGTACATTGTTATTCAACTACATCGAGGATGTGAACTAAGGTATGACCTCTCATCGAAATCTCTGCACACATATTTTAAGTCTAATATAATGTAGAATGCTAACAAGTACCTGTGAAATACCAATAATAAAGGGATGTAAAATAAATAAAATAGATTTGTAAGATTACACAAAAAATGTAATATAACATGCTGAAAGTTTGTTTTCAATGTACTATTTCAAGACAACTCAAGATTTTTCTGCTTGAATTCAGATGGAGCATTGATCCATTCACATAAATAGGTTTTATCACTATATAATCAATAAACAAATTATTATACTGCCTCATCAGCAACCATTTGTAGGGGCTTCTGTGAGTTATTGGACTGTACCAGGCTTGCTACCCAAGGCATCGTGGTCGTCACACTGATAACCATTGTATTGGTGGGAAAAAAAGCAATAGCTTTATAAGTTTATTAATGTGGTTAAATTATTAGTCAGTCTCCTTCACAAATTAGATCATCTATTTTAATCATCTCCTATAAATAATAACATTAACAAAAGCCAATGTTTTTTCAGTGAAGTTCAAGCAAGAATGAGTTTTGCCATGTACTTAACACACATCTTGCATAGATTACTAGCAAGCTGCACAGAACCTGAAAGTCAAGACAATGCCAGTTATCAACAAGAGTTATTGGTATGTTTATCTAACTCTGGCGTATAGTAGATTCACTTTTTTTTTTTGTCCTCACTCAAATCAAAACAAGCCCTAAAACAGGTGTAATTATTATATCAAAGGGAATGTATTTATAATGGCAACATATATATTTTAACTTAATAAATATTTATTCATATATGTCAAGCCAATATAACCGACTTTGCCCGGGATAACATTTTAAAAAATTCGAAACTTTTAGCTAACATCCAAAACCAAAAAAAAAAAAAAAAATATTCTCTTCTTTCCATTTTCTATTTTCTCAATGTATATTAAAAAAAAAAATGTGCTTAATTTTTAAATGTAAAATTAAAAATAAAGTTA